ATATATATATATATATATATATATATATATATATATATATATATATATATATATATATATATATATATATATATATATATATATATATATATATATATATATATATATATATATATATATATATATATATATATATATATATATATATATATATATATATATATATATATATATATATATATATATATATATATATATATATATATATATATATATATATATATATATATATATATATATATATATATATATATATATATATATATATATATATATATATATATATATATATATATATATATATATATATATATATATATATATATATATATATATATATATATATATATATATATATATATATATATATATATATATATATATATATATATATATATATATATATATATATATATATATATATATATGCATAGGTGTGAAAAGCCTGCTAGCAAAATGGTCATCAATCTAACAGAAAATCCTACAGGTGAATAAACGTTGTAAGTTTTGTTCGGCCACGAATGAATTCGATTGGTACATTTTCTACTCACGCCTCATGTCGAACGATGGTCCATGTTCTTGCACTTGAAGCTCCTTGTCCACGTACTTATAGGTATGGTGACTAAAAAATGGGACAAAAGAGAAATTTAGTCGAGATGATCATCGTAGAAAATGTCTCCAACTCAACCAACAAAACCTCATATGAAACGATGAATCCCGGGAAGTTCAGACCGGTTGCACCATGGCAACTGGAATAAGTAAAGTATGAGGCTGAATCCTAACCGGTTACAATTACAGTAACTAAAAATCGACATCACAGTTATGATTACACTTCGGGTCAACAAATAGTCCGTGTCCTCCAGTTGGTGTGCATCGTTATACCATCAATTATAAAGGCGTTTGACGAATATGGTTGTTAGGTAGAGGTACCTCTGGATTTTGAAGCAGTTTAATTGCCGGACAAGCCTGGAGGTTATGGGCAGCCGGAGCAAACAAATTTTAGAATTTTTGTTACTGTTGAAAATCCCATGAGTAGTCTGACAACAATTGCATTGAGGAGCAGCCTCACGGTGGTCAGTATTCCGGATATGAACAGAACGCTGCCTGCGGAATACTCTTTAAACTCACGTAACTGTTACAAGACTAAAGGTTCTGGTGGACCTTCACCAAGTGCATATGACCACAGGGAACATCCGCTCCAACTGTGAGAATTTCCATGGTCAACTGAGAAAATGAAAAAAAATTAGTCGACCGACTCAACTGAGTTAGCTGCCCAAACCCAACCAAAGTGTGGAAGTCTTGTACATTTCGCTTTTCCTATAGACTTGGCTAGCTCTACTATTGTAAACATAACGCAAAGAGCGGACTTCTATCTTTCCTAGGGGAGAAATGGAAAACGAAATCAGTTGCGCCAAAGCTCTGGGTCCCCGGCTACTTGTAGTTATCTACCCGCTGCCTCCCAGCTAGACAACCAACTGAGTTCGGGTTTGACGAGTCGTCCACGCCGAATGCCAAGTGAATAACGGCACAGATGAGCCACATTTAAATAATAACCCAGCACTTCAAAGTTATCTGTTCGTGCTCAGAACTATGCGACTAGCTTCCACTAAAGTGAAAAACGGAAATTAAGACAAGAGACCCTACCGTATAACTGGTATTTAATGGATCTGTATGCAAACGTTAACTAGGCATTCCTTAAGCACTACGGATGGGCTCCAGAAAAGAGGCCGGATTTTTATCGGACGCACCTGTCTTACTGTCAGAGGCCGGATTTTATCGGACGCACCTGTCTTACTGTCAACAGATGAAAAGTCGTGATTTTTTACGACTAGAAAGCGCATTTGCTGTGATTTGGAAACAGTGTATGGTAGTGAACTTGCAAGCCAGATAAAAAGTAAGTCCACCAGCCTTTAGGTTACAACTCAATCGACTATACTTACACGGAAAAGTAGTGGACCGGAGGTACCAAATCAGAGATGGAGGTTTGGTAATGGAGTAAGACAGTCTTTTCAGATTCACGGATGGACAATGAATACCCCACAAACGACGGCTTCAAAGCCAAAGCAACAACTTATTGAAAACTATTAAAACGTACAGGGTAGTAAAGAAGTTTAAAGAACGAAGTGCCGACTGGAACCAAATTTCTGAACACTACCTACACACTGTAAGTAGCTCAGAGGGAAGAAAATTCACACGACGCCAGTCTTCCATCTGAAAAGTCGTCATCCGAGAGGCTAGTCAACAAGTGGCCGCCTAATGTGAATCTCATGATTCAAGGACTAGTGGCGCGATATCCTGTCTAAGCAAAAAATAGTAACACTGTTGATCAGCCGCTGATAGCCTTGGTGTGCAACTACCAGCTGTAGGGGGGGGGCGGTTGAATTTCTCTGGAGTTTCGTGAGATACGCACTTGACGGGATTAACAGGATGTGACCCTGACAGCTATTTAATCCACGATCCACGACGACTAACCTATCAACGGGGAATAGTGTCCAGTTGGAATCTAGTTGCTAGTGCACAGTGGATACGCAATTGAATGCTCAAATCAGAGAAAAATAAGACGAACCAAACCCGATCCGCCCGAAGACCGCTTACCGGAAGAGTATGACGTCATCTTCTTCATACCAGGTGATTACGCGTCTGCTGTCATCCTTGGGCACAGGAAAGAGGTGCTTCAGAATAGACCTGACGCGCATACCGAGTTTTGAATTTAACCCGTGAAAGATGTGATGCGGGTAGGCTTGAGGCATTTTGACGCCGGAGCCACGGCCGATAGCCTCCATCTCATGCCTAGCATGGACATTGTACAAAGTGAAAACGGCAGTGGGTCCAAATGGTAAGTGACTGATCGTTAGCGTGTCCGGAACTCCTCGAGTTTCATTTACAACAACCAAGTCAGTAATCTAAGGTTAATGAAGAACGAGCATGAATGAGTATAAGTCAAACTCAGGAAATTAATAGGGAAAACAACTACAACAGAAATATGACCGGACCAATCTACGTTGCAAACAAGCGTATTTGGCCAATCGGTGACTGACTGCAAGTATAAAACGTCGCATGGAGGCGAATTTGCTGGATCTCATACAGCAAGTGATTGGTTATGAACCACCCTAAAGAATAACGAATCTAGATATGATACCTGGAACAATCAACGTTCAAAAGCATTGGTCCGATACCTGTTTAGCAAGACAAGCTTCCAGCAGATCTTTGTTTTGGTAGTTACCACGATTGATCTTCGTAGCATTTGGAATCAAAAACCGAAGTTCCTTGGCGAACTCTTTCAGTCTTGAGCTTGGAGACCTCGAAGTCGTCACCACTACGCGGGGATCCTCGGTTCCAGCCCACAGATATTCGTCATCTTCCGCAGCCGCAACGCCTGATATTTTGGAAATATTAACGGTAACGAAAATATACCATCACCGCCTTCATCACTCCAATCAAGCTCCTCATTTAGATCCAAAGCATTATTCTCTAGTTCCTTAGGCAAACGCTTCCCCTCCTTCAAGGCAGTCCGGAGAAGATCTTTCTTGCGCTGGCTTTCCACATCACGTGCTTCAATCGACCTACGGTAAATAAACTCACGCCGTAGGCGTGCTTGTCGCTTGAGCTGAAATAAAGTACGGCACGAATTAGGTTGCTTATGGTAGTTGAAAGGAGCAACCATAATGTCTTTTGATAGATAACTGCACAGTATAATATCTAAGTAACTGAGTCACTAAGAACATATTTGGGAAGCCAGGACTATTGTCAGTATTTTGCCACATCAAAATGAAAAAACTGGGTTCTTAACAGCAGCTGCAACTGACAGGATAAGACAGATTCACCAAATAGGATAAAAAGCCACCAAATGGAAAACTGTCTGGCCCACTCTTCAGATGTGAAGAGGCGACCAGGGTACTGTCGCTGGGAGTATGACTTAAAATACAAGAACATTTGTCGAGCTGTCCACTGTTACTGGTGATTAGTCATGGGCTATTCGTCACGTCATTTTCACTATATTTGTCTTGAAACAGTGATATACAGTACATATGTTCATGTGCACATCAAAAGCACTATATGGAAGACAGTCTAGGTTTGAAGCTAAGAATACAGAATTCGAAGAATGGGATTGATCTATATAGATCGTCAGAAGGACACTGTGCAGACGATCAAAATGTACACGCTGTCAAAGCGGGTTAGGCGACAGGGAGAACCTTCACGCCAAAAATACAGAGCGTGCAACCGAACACCATATTTCTCAGTATTGAAAAGAGTGCGCTAATGTGCGGCTGCCATTCAAGTGCTACATCCCATAAACTGGCCTTCTGAAACTACTGATAAGGAAAGAGATCCCCCAACCAAGGAGCTCTATCAATGACCTGGACTAAGCAGACGATATCCATGATCAACGCAATCTCTATATAGCCCGAGAGAAGCTCAAAGATGTAGAATTTCTCCAGCACCTGGGCGCAAGGTTCTGGTGCAAAACTGGTGAACTGAATCACCCTCCTTGACCATAGAAACTGAGCCAAGGGAGTTGCTTAGCAGACCCAACAGTTGTGCCTGGTGTTCCACCGGAATGTCAGTTATCTTATCAAAACCTAGTGTTCGGGGGCCAGCCGTCCCTAATAACTGAACAGCACATCATTTGGATGGATGTGTCACGTGCAGGACACGGGCCAAACGAAGGCACGCACTGATTGGTCAGAATGCCAACCAATCCAAGTCAAGCACCTGTGACTCGAGGCTTCTCGCCCCCTCACGGAGATTCTGGCACGACCTTGTGGAACACACCGTGACTACCCTATAAATACAGTTGTACTAATTTTCCTTTGTCTCCATAAAGGGCTGTCTAGAGCTACCGTGCCTTTTGATATACCATAGTGGGCGGAGCAGGAAGCCAAGGGACCGACACAGAGTTGCACTACTGTCCATCAAGACACAACACCTAGATAGGACTGAAGTCTGTGAACGCGGCGTCACGGACGTCTACTGCATTCTCCTATCTGTTACCACTGGTAGTCAAATAGAGTGAAAACAGCCTAGAACCGAAGCAATGCCCAATCAGTGCACGTGCTGAGTGCCATTAAAACTAGAGCCGAACTGCCAGAAGCTAATGTTGAAATAGTTGTTAGTAATCACAGCTGCTGGATACGACCCCTAGTACAAAGGTCGACATTACGTCCGGGGGCAGGCCAGTGGAACCAGAAGAGGCACATTAAATGGCTAGAACATAGGCTGATCAGAATCACACACGTTTGCCTCGAAACTTCTCACTCCCTTGGGGGGATCCTAGTGTGACCCTCTGGAAGATTCTGCGACCGCCTTGTAAATACGTTTGGGGTAATCTTCCTTTGTTTCCATAAAAGTTTGTCTCAGGTTGATTCGCCCCATGTTATAGTGCGCAACAGCAAGCCATGAGGCAGCACTGGAGTTGCTAAACTAGAACACATCTGTTGTTGGATTCAATTAAGTTGAGAATGTCCCCAAGAAATCATCCAGGAAGACCTTAGGGAAGCAACCATATATGGGGGTGAGATGGCCCAAGTGGTTAGAGCACGAATTTACTGACCGGAAGGTCCGTGGTTCGAACCCGACCTCTGTCTCTCGACTTCCCCTGTCT